TATTCGTCCCCCCCTGCCTGTACCCTGGCACCATGAGCCTGCTGAGTATCGTCGGCTCTGCCGTCTCCTCTTCGTGCCTGGCCGCCTTCGCGAGGCACCCGGCCTCCCTGTGGGTCGGGACCGCCGTGTACGGCGCGTCCATGGCCACCGTCTTCCCCAGCGGCATTTCCTGGATCGAGCAGTACACGGTCGTGCAAGGGAAATCGGCTTCTCTCTTTGTGGTCGGCGCCGCGCTGGGCGAGATGTGCATTCCGGCTGCGGTGGGCTACCTCCAGGGGAGGCTTCACCGTGTCCCCGTGGTTATGTACACGGCCCTGGGGACTTCGGCAGCGACCCTCGTGCTCTTCCCTCTGATGCACAAATTGGCCAACTGTCCCGCGGGGAGCGGCTTGAAGGAAAGGAGCGAGAGCGAGGACCGGAAAGCCTTGCTGTCGAACTCGGGGCTTAATGAGGATGAAGAGGACGAGGAGGATGCGGGAGAGTGGAATGAAGCAGACTTTGAGGTAATAGAAATGAATGACACCCTGAGAAACTCCGTGGTAGAGACCTCCCGTAAGATACTGGGGGACTCTCCGGCCAAAGGCGCTCTCCAGCCCCGTCTGGACGACGTATTGCGCGAGTCTCCAGCGGTTGCTGGCGGCTCCCCTGGGAGAAAAAATGTGATTGTGGACCGGGAGAAGAACGATTAAAGGAAAAGCTGACTTTTTTTTTTAAAAAAAGGGAAAAGCGATTGAACTGTAGAAGTGGTTCAAGAACACTTTTGTAGTGGCGCAGAGCTCAGCGTCTTCGTGTCTGTGTTTGTCCGGCCCTTTCTCCTCTTTCATTTTCCGCCTGCAGCGACGCGTCTCGGAGTGGGCAGGGCCACCGTGACGTGACTGGAGTAATGTGAGAGGTTGTGTAGACTGTGCCGAAAATGTGAAAGCGTAAGAGACGTTTCGCAAATGCGAGGCATGCGTTGAAGCAGCGCACGCTGCAGGAAGAGCTAACCGGGAACGAAGGGGACTGCTCCGACTTTCCGGGGGTGGGCGGAGGGTGGAGCTCTGAGGTGCTCGGTCACAGAGTGTTTTCGTGAGGGAGGAGGGAAATCTGTGAGCTGTGACGCTGAGCTTGCTTATCTCGCGCAAGGAGAAGGCTTCTACGGCATCGCGAGTTCGTGTGTGACGTCAGCCAGGAAATCAAGTCAAATTTCAGGCGATGCCCAGCGGCTGTGAATCGGACAGCCTGCTGGCAAACTCGGTAATTTTATGGCTCTGTCAGTAAGATGAGCAAAACCGAATTTTTAGGAGGGGAACTGTGCCTTTGGGCCATTTAAAAGCAGTGCATGGGTAGGGGGACAAAATGGGTCGTATTCATCTGCTGTAAGGCGTAACGCCGGTTTCCTGGTTAGACAGTGGTGACAAATCTAGTCTAAAGGACCTGTGATTGTACTTGTGATTTTTAATTACTGCACTACCATTGAAATCAAGAAACGTATGAAGAAGATTATAAAATTATATAAACAGATTACTTAATATATGGTATTGACATAGGGCTGTGATACTTTTAAGCCAGTTGTTCAAGTTAAGGTTGTAACTTCTCTGGCTTCCTGTGCCAAGGTGTTAACACAGCGATGCATTACAATGAAAATTTGAAAATGAGCGCGAACGCTGGAGGAGCCAGGAGGAGCCAACCCCGTCAGGCTGTGCTGCAGGATCGCTTGCCCCTGGCCAGCTGGACTGGTGCTGTCGGGGTTGTGTTCCTCGGGGTGGTGACGCAGAGGCAGAGGCGCTTCCCAGTGTGGCAGCAGGGGCTGCTGCTTGTGGTGTTTGTAGGGCCCCTGCCTGCGCCACGGGGAGCCCTGGGCCCGCCAGCCGTGCCCGCCAGCCCCCCCAGGAACAGCACCTGCAGCAGCAGCTGGCCGCAG